TCTGCTTTATCTGCTGTCCACTCAAAATGTCCAACCCTTTTATTTTCCTCTCCCCTAAAAACTCTTATTTCCCTTTCAGGTAATGCTGTTTGAGGGAATTCTCCCTGAAGTTGGTGATAATTAAGCCCCTACTCTGTAATCCAAGGAAAACTCTCCAGTGCTGAGCAGGACAGGCAGACACAGCTGAAAATAAAAAAAACTATTCCAAGTAAAATTACTACAGATTGTGTATTGGTCCAAGAGCTCTTATCAGCTGTAAACTCTGATAGGCCAGGTTTGAATCTGGAAAGACTCCAGCACATTAATGCCACACTCAAACAAGACATTGGATGCTAAAAGGGGAGTAACTGAAGACAACTCCAAGCAACACAAATATAAAAGCATTCAGTGATAATATCTTTGAAAATCCTTACAAACTGGGCACTRTCAACTCTTAACTAAAATATATCATAGCAGTGGTTTGGATTTTTTTTAAGCACGTACTAAATAAAGGAAATTCTCAAAGATCTAAAAAAAAAAAAAAAATCAGTGGGGTTTTACTACCAGTTATTAAATTACTTTTTCAGGTCGCACTTCAGTACCTTGTTTTTAAATATTACAAATTAACTGCTAAAAACAAAGAATCCTGCCAGACTGTGAGGGTTGAACCCAGATTAATTCCAATTTACATTGCTGGGATCATGGCAGCTGCTTTTGCATCCCATAACCCAGTCTATCCCAAAGCCACCCCTAAGAAGGARGCCCCTGCACTGCAACAAGCTGCATACATCTCAATATTAAATTATATTATTAAATTAATTACACTGGAGCARTGGTAGGGAAATGAGATGTAAAACCCTCCACACTGCTCCAACACCTCCTTCAGCCACACTCCCAAGGAGCAGCTCTCCAGGCAGCATTGCTTTCCATATCATCTTTTTTTCTACTGCAATCTGTATAGATGAATCTGATGGGTTTGTGTCAATTCGTAACTTGGAGTGCATTAAGATATTTTAAGGCAGCAGTTTGCATTTTAACACAATGGGAAAAGCCAAAGACACTGGCAGACAACAAAGCAAACTTGCATATTCACAGGCACTTGAGTGGAATATTCTGTGATCACGGGATTGGATGGAATCAGGGAATAAAGGTCAACATTTGCTGGTTAATTCTATTTCAAGATCTGTGAATTAGAAGATTTGTGCTGCAAGTTCTGCTGCAAAGTATTTAATATGTGATTAACTTGCAGAACAATGGCAGTGGAAACTCTCCCAATATTCCCAGGACTCTCCATCCAGCCCGGAATTCCGCGGGAGCCGAGCTCCTGCACGGCRCAGCAGCAGAATATTCTAATAAGAACTCTCCTAATCTTCACCCAGCAATAATTTCAAGATGATATTATTATTCTCATTTCCTTGAATAATATCCATACTCCAGGGCCATTTTCCTTCTCATATTCAATATCRGGCATGCTCCTATCAAGATTCCTTTCCTCATATCCTGTCACAGTATCAATCACTGCCTCCTGTCCACTCAATCCACTTTTGATTTATCAGCCGCCGTCTTTCTGGACTCCATAACTCGACCCAAACCATTTTAGCAAGACAGTGACAAATAACACCCAGGATCACATCAACCTGTTCCACTTAGTAAACTAAGGACCAGGAACTGTGACATCCCTCCATAAGTATTCCTGCTATTCCCCAGCCTGATGTATATTAATGAGGAGCTGGTATTTGAAACGCTCCTTCCACATCAGCATCTAATATGATCAAATTAGGAAATGGGATGATTTATTAAATTCCGTGCAGCTGAAATATTCCTTTCCAGCCCTGCACGGGTGGCTGCAGAGAGGGAGCTGTTGCTTCCAATTTTTCCACRGGAGGATGTGCCTGCGCTTCGCAGACGAATTATTGGCTTTAAAAAGATTGCGAGGAGGCGAAATGTTATTAAGCAAATGCTCAGTAAAACAAACTAAATCGGTTTTAAAATTCCTAATTTAATGTAAATCTTGGTTGTTTCTGCTGAAATTCAGTTTGTGATCTTATTAAGTCGTATTTGCATTGTACTCCCTCGCTGTAGGACAGCTTGGAATTTATAGCATTACTGGGAAGCCCCACTTTTTTGACTTTAGAAATTCATCTAAAACAGAATTGTTATAATATGCACAAATTTCTTTATCTTCACAAGTCAAACAACCATTACTGGGAAGCCCCGCTTTTTGCCTCTAAAAATGCATCYAAAATAAAATATTCATAATATGCACACATTTTCTTTATCTTCTCAAATAAAGCACAGCCATTACTGGGAAACTCCACTTTTTAAACTTAAAAATTCATCTAAAATGGAGCAGTTACAACACACACAGGTTTCTTTATCTCCTCAAATAGTGTACAAAAAAATCAGTTTAGGTTACAAACAACACCTACTTAAAGCACCTTAAATGTGTTATTGTCATTATAAAAATCCAACTTTTCAAATTAAAACTTGATCTATCTCAGTGTTGTGCACTGCTGGAGATCTGTAAATCATCTGCTCAAATAAAACACCTCTGTTAGAGGAGTTATTAAAAAAAAMCAACATTACTTTTAACACCTTCACTACCTTCAAAACCAAATTAAAAGCTGGTAGGGGATCGTGGGGAGAAAAGATGTTACAGGATACAAAATCTGTGCCATGGGCGTGATTTACACCCAAAAACAATTCCTGGGATTTAAAGACACCGTGGAACAGATCTTAACTTCCAATACGAAGGCAATTTTCTACTCTCAGACTCATAATAAATAAAATTTTAAAAATGTATTTTCTCAGCTCCTGAAGTGGATAATCCTCTGAAGATACAGCAGGAGTGTGACAAACACAGGGCTGATCTTCCCTTTCCTGCAGCTTCCCAGTTGGGGCAGCAGCATTTCCCTCCTCCCCTGGMAATCCAGGAGCTGGAGATCACCAGGAATATTTCCCTGGATAACACATTCCTCCTGCAGGAACACAAGGGGCTGCCTGGGTTACTCTGGACCCTTTTATTGGTTATTTACAAGTGCTTTCTTCAGTATTCACCCAGAAAAGCCACAGGAAAATAAACTGACCCACACTGAGCAACAACAAAAATCAGGAATTTCRCATGGAATTTACAGAAATTCCATGTCAGTGCTCCAAACAGGAGCTCATGGCAGSAGATGAGGACCCCTCAATCCTCTTTTCCCATCATTTTTAGCTTCACGTTCATTTTTTCTATCCCTCCATCCCATTCCCTCTTTTCCCCACTCTCTTTTCCAGCCTGAAGAATCCAGCATGGAAAGCTGGTGAGCCCTCAGACCGGGTGATTTTGAGGCAAAAAAGGGATTATTTGGCATCACTGCAAGAGCTCAGCACTGACAACCAGGGCACACACAGGCCTGGAGTTGCAGCTTTTTGCAAATCCAAGATTTAAACTCCAAAATCAGATTAATCCACAGCTTCTCAGGGCAATGTTACAGCAGATTCAGGGGAAAAAATTACAATAAAGGATTGGATGTGTCCTGTTGGGTTTGATTTTAAGCTTTTGGACCATTCTGGGACTATTTAGGATGTTATTTATCAATATTTTCCCTCGGTGGTGTSAATAGGACCAGCATTTACAGGAATGTGCAGCTCTACCCCTCCAGTGCTGCAGCCTTGATACATAAAATATTTGATACTTAAAATATCTGATACATCAAATACTTGATACACTGTGGTTTTCAGAAGTAGCTACATTTTTCAAGTTTTTAGGTGACTAATTTCCATCTACTGGAACCGTAATTAAAATCAAACCCCTCAGCAAAGATGACCATTAGACAACTGTGAATGAGGCCTGCAATTGATAATTATTCTATATTATTATAATAAAAACCATTTAAAATCAGTTTATCACATTGCCCATCACTGAKTATGTGACATCCTGAAAAAACCTTCATTTTCACCTCATTTTTTTGACATTCCAGTAAGTTAAGAGTGATTTTTTKKGGGGAAAAAAGGGGATATTCACAGGAATATCTGCACAGCTCTKATGGGGAGGATACTCCAAGAAAAATCAGGCAGTTTAAATAATCCAATTTCTACTACAAAGGCACTGCAGCAATAAAGGGTCCAGGCAGCTCTTCTAAAGAACAGCTGGGAATAAGTCATGGCAGAACAGAAGCATGAAAAAGTGGAATATTCACATTTCAACAATTGTTCTGCATTTACAGGCAACAGCTCTTCTGGGTCGTACATGGAAATCCCAAGTTTGATAAATTCTTAAAGCAGGGACAAAATCACCTGGCTAAAGATTTGGAAAGGCACACCCAAACAGCTTCCATCTGCCTGGTGCACTCAGTATTTAATTTCAAGTCACTAGAAAATGTTAATGGCAAATCTGGTATCCAGGGAGGAACTCGAGTTGAACTTTTTAATTGAAAAATACACACMAATACAACTTGAGCTTCCTTCAATTCAAGAAGAAAAGCAGGTTTTGTGATACATTTTGTGGCTTGTGATTGAGATTTGAGTATTTAAACTGGGACACATTTGTTTGTCACAAACCAATGTGTGAAAAATTTCACTGCAGATACCACTAAACATGAATAAAAAATTGCACAACCAAATACTCATCTTCTTTCCAGAGAAATACAGATGAGAAAATTAGTTTATTCTGAACTTCAATGTTATGTGTGGGAATTATAGAAAGCGGGAAGCAAAAAAAAAATCCAAAAGGTATTTCCAAATAATTCTATGAAACCAAGCAACTCTATTAATGTTACTTTTTGAACTAAATAAGAATGTTACTTTTGAACTAAATAAAAAATAAATCATTTATCTCCAAAATGGTTTCACCAGGAAAGATTTGGTGTACAGAAAGCACTCCAAGGGTCCCAGGTTAGAACATTCCAAGGGATTTGTGGTTTAGATCATCACTCACAGCCTTTGTTTCCATTTATTCCAAGCTCAGACTTCTGTCAGGGTTTTACAGGAATGTTTTTACAATAGGAATAACCATGTTTGTTCCCAGGGAAGAGCCTTACCTCCTGGTTCTGCTCTTTGAGCGGGATCTCTGGGACCTGTAGGATTTGCCTCTGCCCCTGGAGCGGCTGCGGCTGCGTTTCCTCCGGGAGCCGTAGGAAGAGCTGCTGCTGGATCTGTGTCTGCGCCTGCAACAGAGCCAGGACTGAGTGCCACTGCTCCCAAAAACCCCCCAGACAGGCACCAACCCCAAACCAGCCAGGAGAAAACACAACAGGACAAACCTGGGGGACTCCAGAAACCACARATCCCACTATTCCCCTGGACAAATAACCACACACACAGACAGTGCTGCTCTAAAAACCTGATCTCCAAAATCCACAGCCCAGGCAAGGAAAGGCTTTCTTTAAGTACTATTACAAATCAGTTAATAAGTGTTGATTTTGTTAATCTGAGGCCATTTAAGGGCAGTTCCCTCCYGAGTCCAAGCAGGAATCAAAGGCGTGTCTTCAGCTGCCCCTCACTCCCAGGTCCATGTATTTAAAGAGTAAATTCTTACAGACAAAGGGGAAAGGTGAAAGAAAAGATATTAAACCCAAAATCCAAATTAAACCCGTATCTTAACATTTCCTCTCCATCTCCRTAATAGTTAACTAAATGTAATTAGTTTGCAGATTGTAATTAACAATTGCAATCCTCCATATTTTGGGCCTTCATGGGTGATTAATATTGAAATATAATATCAGGGAAACACTTCTGGAATTGAGGATGTGATCAGTGATTATCCAGCATGAGGGAAAGGGGCTGCAGGAGCTGGGATGCTGGAAAAGAAATACAGGTAAAGWGCTAAAGAACAGGGCTGCAGCTGGAAAAGGAATGGGATGTTCCTGCTGGATGAAGGACAGGAATTGTGGAAATTTTGATTTTGATTGCTGAGGGTCAGGGACAAACCCAGCAGGACCCCAGCATGGAACACGGACTGAACCACCAAGAATGAATGCCCTGCCCCAAAGGCAAAGCCAAGATCCCAAAAGCAGCCCCTGGGATCATTCCTGGATGCAGCTGCAGTGCCCCAGTCCCCATCCAGGCCCCATTCAGCCCCAAATCCCCTGCGAGCTCTGGCTCCTCCAGGAGATGGYCATGGCTGGTTTTACAGGATTGTGGCTGGGATTCCAGCTCGTGGCACCCTGCTCTGGCCCTTGGTGAGGATGGGGATCCTCAGCACAAACAGGGAGCCAATGAACCCCTGACGAGCCCCCACAAACACCCAACTGCTCCCTCCCCACTGCACCCCATGSCAAGGTCTGTCAGGAGCATTTCCTGCTGCATTTACAGGGCAGCTGCACATCTGGAGTGTTTGCCAGCCCCACTTCCAGTAAATTCACCACCACAGGTCACACTGACACAACCAGGATGGGGCCATGGAGCTGCTCCAGGGCTGGAGCCCCTCTGGAGCCAGGMTGGGAGAGCTGGGGGKGCTCAYCTGGASAGGAGAAGGATCCAGGGAGAGCTCAGAGCCCCTTTTGGGACCTAAAGGGGCTCCAGGAGAGCTGGARAGGGACTGGGGACAAGGGATGGAGGGACAGGACACAGGGAATGGCTTCACATTGGAAAAGGGGAGACTTGGATGGGATATTGGGAAGGAATTCCTGGCTGAGAGGGTGGSRGGCCCTGGCACAGRGTGCCCAGAGCAGCTGTGGYTGCTCCTGGATCCSTGGCAGTGCCCAAAGCCAGGCTGSACATTGGGGCTGGAGCAGCCTGGGAYRGTGARAGGTGTCCCTSCTAAGAGAATGAAGAAGAGTTTTTGCAGCTGGGGGGTTTCTCTGGTTTAAAGCAGAAGTTCCCTTTGGATSTGCACATTTCCTGCTTTGGTGCTCSTGCAKGGGGAAGGAGATGTGGRTATTTCTGTTCATAGTGGTGTGTCTGGGGTTTYATTTTGATGAAAGTGAAATCATTTTCACACCTTCCAAGGTTCAGAGCAATCTGTGCCATAAAATCCAAACACTCCAGCTTTCTGCCATAACATGAAAGAGCTCCACTTCTAAAAATCCCTACAAATGCACCTTTTCTCATAGGAATGGGACCAAGACTGGAGATCCCGAGAGCGTGACCTGGACCTGGATTTCCGTCCCGATTTCTTGCGGCTGTAGGTCCTGCTGTCTGAGGAGCTGCTGGACGAGGAACGCCGGCGATGCTTCTTCTTCCTCCTGCTCCTGCTGTCCTCCTCCGTGTCTGAGGAGCGGCGCCCCATCCTGCAACTGCACAAAACCCAAACATTCCCCACCATGAGAAGCTCTCATGCCTGCACTGGGTTGTTTTATATTTATAAAGAAAGTTAAGAATGTGTGGTTCCTTCTCCTCCTGTCCCTGTTCCCTGGAGCTGTCCCCTCCTGTCAGGGAGTTGTGCAGAGCCACAAGGKCCCCCCTGATTSCCTTTTCTCCAKGCTGAACCCCTTTCCCAGCTCCCTCAGCCTCTCCTGGAGCTCCAGMCCCTTCYCAGCTCCGCTCCCTTCCCTTCTCCTCTTCCCAGCACAAACGGGTTGAACTGGCTCCTTTTCTCCAGCCAAACTTTAGCCCTTCCTCACACTTTTGGCCACCGAGGCAGCACCTCCTGATCCACCTGGGAGAGCCTGGCAGCAGAACAAAGGACAAATTCACCATTAAAGACATGGGAATTCCTGCCAAGCACCGCCTGGAGCCAGGCCCGGGGAGCAGCAGCGAGTCTGGAACATTSTCCCCTAAAATGCCACATTATGGTCATGGCATCTCCCTCCAGCAGCATTGCCGTGTTTGCCCCAGCAGCGCCGTGCAGAACACAGTTTGAGGAAAATTAATCCACAARCACCAGARATTTATGTCCAAAAACGAGACAGAGGAGTCCCATAACTTTATTCATGAATAAAGGGAGAGGCCATGGGCATTTCCCATGGGGTGTCTCAAATTGATAGAGGATGCAGCCTTATTCCAATTTCCYGGCTGCATTTCCMTCTCTCTTTCCCCACTGGCTGAAGGTCTGGAGAGGCACAGGCTCCCCAAAAYGCCCAATGCACCCCTCTTCYAATRTACATTCTCCTCTTTAATATAAATCTTTATGTCTCTGCTCTTGTAGYCTATCACCATAGTSWGGGGTAAGTCARTCAGTGAAATTTTCATGGAAAKCTTGCTCTTGTTATATTCTGTTTCTCAGGATCAGTGTTATTTTACCYCCAGAGTCACAGTTTGTTTGTAAAGACACTTTTTTCATATTCCTTCCAACAAGACATTCCCCGCAGCACCGGGATCTCCTCCGCTCGCTGCCGCCACAAACAGCGCTCGGGGG